CCTGGCCTCTCCGCGACTTCATGTGGCGGCTGGGGTGGAGTGTTCTTGCTACCCTTTACGGCCTCGAACGGTAGAGAATGGTCCAATCATTACCATAGCCAGAACTGCTTCCTACAGAAAACAAATCAGCATGTTTTGAGGCAATGCGTTGTCGCCCGTGTTTTCTGGAGGGCCGTGCATCCTGGATTTTGTGGCTTCGCTTCGTTTTTTCTGGGCATTGTTCTGGAGTGTGATTCACTTTTTTTCTCATTGTTGCAGGGACTTACTGTCTATGGCGCAATCGCTGTGAGGCTGCTGCAGCAGGTCGTCACCGCCGCGCTCTTTTTCTGATTTTGGAGCGACTGTACAAAGAACTACTATCTGTTTTGTCGAACGAACTCTTCTGTATTGGTGAGTAGGAATTCGTTCGACACGGGTCCTGCCCTTTGTGTTCGTCTGCGAGAGACGTGTAAAGCTTGTTTTCAGATATGCCTGGTCTTGGTAGGTTAATGTTTCTTTAGTACTCGTACAAATAACTAGTAAATACTATGTACTTAATAGCATATAGATCTTTACGTTTAATTTCTGTGTTCTTCGTTCCCCATGTTCTATACAAATGTAAACATACTATTTTTCACAATTTTTGGTGTGTCTGCGGATGTTGTCTTTCGTCGAGATGTTCTGTTGGATTTTAATTTATGTTCACTTTTCGTGAAAGTAAATTTCTCTAAACACAAACAGTCAATTTGACAGACAGACCAAAAATTTGTGCGTCGACATATCCAAAGAAAGACTCTTGTCTTCAATACAGTAAACTGAAATATATATTGCAACGCTGCTTTTCAGGTATCCTAGCTGTGGTGCCCAATAAAAATATATATATGTCACCATCATATTCAAAAGATGATGCACATTCACCACAAATATAGTTAAACGTGTAACCAAATAAGCTACCAGTCCTCAATCTTGCGAGTTTTCAATCTTGTAAATAAGCGTGTGCTGTTCCGTTTACTTAAGTTTTACAGCCTGTATACCTATACACTGTACGCTAAAGCAGTCAGGCTGTTTCAAGTCAGTGTGTTGAAGTAACGTAATTTTTTGTCTCAATGAAGAGCTTAGTTTCCTGACCTTTTAGTGCTTCCACAATATTAAACAATACAGATAAGTGAGAATCTGTTTTGCCTGTCATAAGTGGCCACAGAGAAAACATTTTGTTAAAACAACAAATTTAAGTAAAACTGTAAATATTTCGGTATGCTACTTGAAAACAATGAACACAATGGTCGAGCTAGTGCATCAAAACGGCCCTGCTGGCTATGTGCTTTTTCATGATGTTACGTCACATTTCGTATGGTACCAAACTGAGGCGTAGCATATGGACCATGTTATTGAAAATCGCGTCCCTTACAGGTTGCATAATTAAACAGAATATTCAGATATACTAGTCCAAGATTTAATGTCGATATTTGCCAAGGATGCATTTAGTATCCAGTTAAATACAAGAAAGAATGAAATGTAAAAAAATGTAGGTGCCCTTTCAAGCCACGTGTATGTTGCTGTGTTTGATATATATAGAGCAGATCCTATTACCATCTCCTTCAGTTAATTACAATACACCCAATAGTAAACCAGGAAAATAAAAAATTACCTGACGAGCTGCGGGAATGCAACGCTCAACGAAATGAACAAGGTCATCTTTCTGAAAATTGTCGTGAAAGCAATCATGGCCCACCACAGAGACCACAAAGGGGCCATTACTATCAGGAATAAAATAATGAAAATGCGTAGCCCGCTATCTACCTTGACAGCATAATTGTTATTTGGTACAGCTTCAGTCAACATTGACGATAGCAGGGGGAGATGGTGTTCACCTTTTTTTTTGCAGCTACAGCAACGTGATCAGGGAGCAGAGATTGTCAAGATAGGCCTTTCTGGAACGTGTGTTCGGAACTAATTTACGTATATCAATGTTTGAAACGAGAACTTCACCTTCGTCTAAGTCTTCGGCTCCTTGCGGCAACATTTCGCATCGATCATTCTCGTGAATGCTGATGTCATCCAGTGCGATGTACGCCTGCCGCGATGCCGGTCCAACGGCTCCACGAAAGACGAGCTGAGAGAACACGCAAGAAGGAAAGAATTAAATAGGCGGGGTCTGGTGATTTTGTAACTCTATGAACTCGAAACGAACCGCATGGCAAAACTTAAGTTGCGTGAAATAGAAAAGCATATAATATTCTATGTCGTAGAACACGAAAAAATCTTCAATCAAGCAGCGTCTTCTCTCTTTTTAATATTTATGTCATATACGGTTTTATTTCGCCTTTGGCATTGTTTCGGACGGCAGTGGTATTGTATCCAACATAAAATGCACCTGTGAGACAAACACGGTGCATGCGTACAGCATGAGGGCAAAGCTCATCTGAAGTAATGAAGTGTTGTAAATAAATAAGGAAAGCCTAGGTATATAGGACAGTTGATATTATGATACATCCTATTGTTTGCTGCATATTGTACTAGCTTTTAATTAAACTTCTTTGTGACTAACTCTTCACCGACAGCTGCCTTCTTGGTAACTACCTGTTTTGCTACACTTTGTAAGAGCGAAGCTGTTTAAGCTCAAGATGTAACGTCGGGTGTCGGCGCTGTTGTATATGACGCGCTGTTCCCGCGCCATTCCAGTGAAGAAAGGACCCGCACTTCTACCGGGAGTGCCTTTGCAAGCTACGTACATTAGTTGTGGCATTGAAGGTTGAGCATTTTTGCAGGTTCTGCGACTCCTTGTGCATCGATTCTCCTTTTTCTGCACCAAGAAATCACCTAAAGCCTAGAAGGTCAGGTTAAACCCCTATAATCAACTAGGTTCTGAGGCTTTACATGGCTAGCGCAAACTTCATCCAGACTGCCCTTTCTTTCACCCCCCCCCTTTTTTTTCTTGTTACCTACACCACATAGGTTGATGACACCAATTTTAATTTGAAAAATGGATATCGCTCGCACCCTGCTGTCATCCTGTCTGCCCAATGACAATCTATCCGAAACGCCCAAACATTATCACCCGGAGACAATTTCACGGTGAGGTCAAAGCGCTTTCGCGGGGAAGCACGTGCTCGGTTTGTACCTCACAAGGAGGATTAAAAAATTGCTGGAGGGGAAATGGTTGTCCTGGAGTGAAGCCGTTCCTATGGCAAGATGGCGGCTGTGGCGGCCATCTTACTAGGGGCATGATAAAGTACCACCGTTCCGCGATTAAGAACGGACCGTTGTTCTTGCACACCCAACGAGTTTATTGTGGAAACTTTCCAGCTCACCTATAGCGCTCCAATGGCGTCTTAGTGTTACTAATTTTTCTTAGTGAGCTTCTAATTTGAGGCAAAGTTCTTTGAATATTAAGTCACCCATACACGTTTCTGTGTGGTATTTCATCGGGAACAGCTATCTTTTAACGTAGAACGAACGTTCTACATTAAATTATTTTAATGTAGAACGAACAATAACATAAGAAAGCCACTTGATCTTTATATAGGCACCACCAGAAATAGCATGCTTTCGCCATCTTGGCAGCGAAAAAAGCTGGCTTCACTTCTCCTGGCAAGGCATTGCGGGAGCTTCCACTCCAGCAATTTGTTTCGTACCTCACCAATTATTCCTGGAATGAGTAATACGGGCGTCCCACAGTGCACATTTGATCACGATTTAGCTGAATTGGACGCAACTTCCTTCATAGGCACCGTTCAGTCGAGTTTTCCTGTCTAACTACAGTGCCAGAATACATAGCCTACCGAATAAATAAAGCAACCTTGAGACGGCTTCGGTGAAAATGGAACGCGATGCACGTGTGGCTCCCTGCGTCGGCGGATTGTGGCCCAGACACATGGGGGACGCGAGCACGCGTCAATTTTCTGCGTGCACCTAACGGCAAAAGTCGAAGACATTGAGACGGGGCAGTGTGACCAACGCAGCCTCCTTGGGTAAGTGTGCGGTGCCTATAGCAATTCACTTACTTGTACGAAGTGTAGAAAGACCCTATCACAATAAAGAAGTTCAACCAAGCCTCCATGCCAAAGACATCTCGCACGTAGATTCATAGTTTTATTCTGGCACTTGATTTTATGTGATATAGAATGATGCAAATGATGTGTGGCACATTAAGCGTTTCTTGTATACTTGTACATGTATTTAGTTATTTAGCTTATTACTTACCCAAATTAGTCTCTATGTCGAAATGCACAGTGTAAAAATGTGATCTACAGGCGTACTAGAAAATGTTGTAAGTAAAGTAGCTTGTATATAGCAATGGTGAGATTGGGCAGCGCGCAGGAGAGTGTTTTTAGTCTAATCAGGTGCTCTAGAACGAAGGAACAAGTGGTAGAGAAGGCTTTCATGCCAAACTAGGCACTTGTATCTTGAATTCATTGTCGATTCACCACTGAATGCAAACAAGTCATACGTGTAGGTCATTCTTTTTTTTTTCTTGTTAAACAATGCAAACTTGAAGAAAGAAAAAAAATGGCACTGCCTTCATAAACGCAATCATCAGTATAGGAATATCACACTGGTAGCATCTCCTCCATTCAGTCGAAATAAAAAGTAATAAGAGAGAACAAAACATTGTGCGTGATTTATGCATTATGACTGAATTTGTTAGCCAACTGAGTTGCAGTGTGGCGATAATTACGTGCTTGCCTTGGACTCTTTGGTGCTCCGGTATTTCTCTGTTGTAGACGGTTAGCGTTCTAACAGCTATAACCTTGGTCACAGTGGATGCCCGTTTGAGTTGTTTAGGTACTAATTGATGTTCCTAATATAGTAACACAACTTCAATGACCCTGAAATGCAGTGGACGTTTAAAACCAGAAGAGGGATTACATCTGAAAATATCAACTTGAAGTGAAAAAAAGGCGGGCAACATTCCCTATAAATGGCAGAGTGAAAACTCTCGAGCTTTGCTTGAATGTAGAATCCGGAATTTCAGAACTACTGTATGTAATGAAAGCACTAAGTGCGAGAACTAGCATTGTTCATTGTGCCTTCATAAAGATCAGCGGAAGATACGGATCTAGACACTGTACCCGGCTGTATTGGGGCGGAGCGAGTTGTCCCATCAGCCAACTGCTTTTGTCAGAACCTTTTTGTGTCCACAGTAGCGAGGCCTTCCGTGACTGATCAGTTGTATCTACGGCCAGCACCTGTGTGAAACAAAAGTATGCAAAAATCTTTAATTTGCAGCAGGCCAACTGGTCAAATTCACGGTTGGTAAGAATAAAAAAAAACAGCGCTTGTGTACACAGCTGCTCAGGACAAGAAACAGTGCATATGCCACATATATCCTGCAATAAAACTTCGTATTCAAGTAGCAAAACATTATTTTACACTGAAACAGATACCTAGTTTATGCCACTTGACAACATCGTAATTTTGCAATTAAAATAGCTAAAACCAAATGTTTCACAACAATCCGTCACGATGAAATATATTCTGCATTTTTTTCTAGAACTAAGAACACTGTATAATCACTACATTCTGTTTTCGGCCTTTCATAGCGATGACGTGTGATATAACAACGCGAACATAAACATTGCAGAGGATTAGGCTTTTGATAAACGAGTATTCGTAGGCACAGGAAGGTTTTTTAGGTGAAAAACATAAAAAGCTTACTGAAGATGAAGTTAGTTAGAGTGGTACTAACAAGTGCAAAAAACGAAGCCCACTAACTACCATTCGCAAAGGCAATTCGGCTGATCGTATAACCACCGCTCTTGTTTAAAGTGTTACTAGTCGTTATAACTCTTCTTTAAACAAACAACAATGCTAGTAATAAATTTTAGGTATTGTATTCAAAGAACGCTTTCTTTCTAAGTAAAACTAGTCTTGTTTCTTGCATTTGCAGTTCGCTTCAGTAAATAAGGTTCTCTTCCTTCCTCGATGTGTGGAGAGAGTTGATATTGCGTAAGGAAAAGTGATGAATAATTATCATAAAAGTAAGGGCTCATAGCCACGACATTTTGGACGCGGTGTATCTTGAAATGCTCCTCAAAGCAAGTAGCAATGAAAGAGCTCGCGCAAACCGAATTGGAAAGCCCGCTAAACCGAGCGAAGTGAAGCTTTCAGATGTTTGCCAGCATTTTCTCTAGTTTAAATGACTTTGTGGTCAGACCGTGAAGCCTATGCACTTTTTCAGTTGCCTGATACCCTTTCTCTGGTCATCACCTGAACGCCATGTTATACGCATCCATTCATACTTTTCGGAACAAATCAGCTAGCCTTGTATACGTAACAATTATTGAACCAAAATTTTCTGTTCCCTCTGACAGCCTTTGAAGAAGAAATCATTTAAAAATAATCTATATACAATTAGAACCAATGCGTTGCATTACCACGCGACCGCCTTATTACCTCCTTGTATTATATTATATTTAAAACCCGACTTAACGAAGTGAGAAGTTATAACCACTCTCTAATAATTTAGTCAAGGCAGGAACCACAGAAAATCAAGATGGCAACTTTTTGATTACTAGAAACTTAGAATGCTAACCCAACGACACTGAGTAGGTACCGCGGCACTGTTTTTCACCAGCAGCCAACGCCTGCGCATCCGAATAATGCGTTAGGGCGGCAAAGATATAGCAGACGCCATGTGCAGACCAAGTAATTGGTGACGTGACGCTATACCATGCTGATTTTCCATAGCAAGTAGGACGAATGCGGTGGCTCTGCGAGCAGGCCGAGTTAGGAGAAATGAGTATTAACTGCGCATAAACCGTGAAACGACCAAAGGAAGCGTCTCTGCCTCAAGCACTGCCCGGTATGTAAGAGCGCACCGACTCCCAGTCAGTTGTTCTGTGCAAAGGCGCGTTGGTATGACACAGAGCCTCGTCAAACTAAAGTTAATGTCGTAACGAGGGCGCCTAAAGTCTTCAATGCAACAGCGTCACTGCGCACGCTAAAACACGTCTAGGTGAAAATTTCGAGGAAATCTGTGGGCTTTTTCACAAAGCCATTTCGTGAAAAGCTTTCTTTCGTAGTGGACTTTTTTGTGGACATTGCTATTTCTGCCTTGTCAGTTTCGGAGTTTCCTAACTAAAACTATCGTTGAAAAAATTAATGGTGCTCCTTAAGAAGGGCCGAGATACTAGTTACCAAAATTTGATGGCAAGTTTCCCTCTCAACGTTCACCTACATAGGTCTGATCTGGTGCAGTAACGTTTGTGCCTCCATTGCAATGGTTGTGAATTGTTGGATCATTTGTTCTTAGTGAGTGGATTATTTCTCAATTGGAGGAAAATACTTTTAGAGGAATCACTCCTGATGATGGGAGTAATTATTTTACTTCCGGTGGTTTTTTGCCTTGCGGATACCGTGCTGTGTTGTTGACACAGGAGCGTTTGGGAGGTCGTATGCGTTATTCAACGTGAGACGAGTGGAGTTTAATCCTAAGGTTATTGAAATCAAGCATATTCTTTAGAAGCAATAAAGTTGTATTCTTTTTTTTTCGTGAAATAATTTATTAGGTTAGTTAAAAATATTCTATTGATAAATATTTTTAAATTATGAAGAATTTTTTATATACCAAGCCACCTCCCGTTTCTTGGCCCCATGGTGGGTTGCGCCAGGTTAAAGGGTGAATCAATCAATAATCACATGGCTCTAACACGAGCTCAGCTACCCGGCAAAATAAATGTTTGTTTGTGTGGAACCTTCTGTTTCGAAAGTTTATTATAGTTTTATTGCCAAATCAGTTCTTGATATTCATTGATTACATAATTGAACCATGGCTGTGCCTGTAGGAGAACGGCAATTACGGTACACCAAGAATTTTGTAACATCCCGTATTTGTTAGACCAAGGTCTGCCTGTACAACCTAATTGAAGTGCCTAATATATATCATGTGCTTCAGTGATGCCCTCGCACCTCGAATAACCAAAATAAAACTAAAATTTTTCAATAAATTACGTGAAAAAAGGGGGGGAGAGAAAGGAACAGAAAATGCACATACTAACTGAACTCTCTATTGAAGGCAAAAAATTAAACAGGAGTGAATAACCAACCCAAAGTATCCATTGATGACCCTTGGAGGAGCTTGATTAGCAATAGTTACAGTAGTACTAAAGATGCACAACCATGGTAGCGATGACAATAACCTGATAGGGTAGTTGAATTAGGCTAGGAGTAATTAATATGATGATGGAAAGTGTACGCTCTGTTGAGATAGCAGGTGGAACTTGTTCAAGAAACGTCTTTTAAAGAAAGCAAATCAAATAACTATAACACGGCCACAGTCCAACTGCTATGGGCTATATTACCTGGCAAAAAGCACACTAGTAGGCAGCACCTTGCCATGCAATATAGGCTCAGATAGATTTCAATGGTGCAGTAGGCTCACCTGTAGGGTTGTGTCTTTGTCTCCGTTGATATCGTACCAAAACTCGACGCACTGTGTTCTCGAATCGGAGGAAAAAAGTACCTCTCCGATCAGGTCTGCTTTTTCTCCCGTGTTCCTCTCAAAGTTGCTAAGGAACAGGTACGACCCTGAAGAAAAAAAATGACAAGTTTCAGGCTCAGCTTTGTCGATTGGGCACGCAGTGTGTACTAAGCGTTATGATTGGCACAAAGCATGGCAATAGATGCAGGTCTATCACTTCTTTCAATAACAACAAGCCAGGTGCTGTAGCACCAGTTAAAGCATGTTAAAGAAATGACCAGAATTTCGAGACATGCTCCGATTGGGCAGTCTGTCGCTGGAGACAGCAGTTGCCTGCCATAACTGAACAGACTATATGCGCAAAGATACTGTCTGACAAAAAAAGACAGTTACCCAAAATTAGTCCTGGTTCTATACAGCAGAGGCGATGGCAGAAGCCGAAATGAACACTCTAATGAAAAATATATTGTCACGCTACAAACGGCGCGTCTTACCATAGAGTTTCATATTTTACAGAGTGGCACCATATGTATTTCTTGAATGGTGTTCGATTGTCCGGAGATGGCACACTCTTTGTAGTTTAATAACACAAATATTCAATTTTACCAAAAAGTTTCAGTAGATTTCTGCTGCCTCCACGCCAGTGACAAAATCGCCAATGGCAGCGTGCTGGTATTTCGACCTCCGGCGGCGGCGCGACATTGGTACACTTTGATGGGGAGGAGGGAGCACACTCATGGGGTGGCAAATGGGTCCCTTGTACTCCAGGAAAAATAGCAGGTAGTTGTTCCCGACAAAAGTAATGCACTTCGACGAGTAAAAATTGTATGACTTCCGACAAATTTGCTGACACTTAAAAAAAGGGCAGCATATTCACGGGGTGAATGACGGAGAGTGGGGCGAAGCATCCATCCGTCCATTCGTTCTTGCTTCCGTCCCTCCATGCGTCCATCTGTGTGACCGTCCGTGTGTCCATCCGCCCGCCCGTGCGTGCGTTTGTTCGCGCGTCCGCACGTCCACCCGTGCGTCCGTCCCTGCGTTCGTCCCTGCATCACCCTGCGTCCGTCCATGCGTCTATCCGTCCATGCAACCATCCATGCATCTGTCCAAGCATCTGTCTGTGTGTCCGTTCGTCCATCTATTCAACACTCCAAGTACCCCCATCTCGCATCTTTTCATCATATATTCTGCATATGCACCGCCATACAGCGGACATTCCAAGAACTTAACGAGAGGTGGCACACGCACACTTTCTTACGGCTTGCGCTTCGTGTCTACTTTCCACCTTTCACAACCTTGAGTTCATGGTATATACTAGTTCACTGTATTCATGGCACTGCGGCCCAACGCTCGCTAAGCTTTTTGAAACCAAGGAGGTTACGCCCAGCGAGTATAAAGTAGCAACCCTTTATTGCCAGATAATGCTCAATGTATATGCCTATGGCTACTAATGAGGAATGAGAGACAGGAGACAATGGGAGATGTGGCAAACTGTTTACGTGTGATTTGGTGGTCGTTGAAACGGATATGAAAGGATGTCTCGGCTTGATCGATGTATTGCATTTTCATCTACCAGGTCATTCGTTTGACAAGATTATGACGACACTATTAGAATCAGGCTTTAAATCACACCATAATCGCAAAATTCTAGAATCGTTCTTGATTTACAAGTTCAATAGTTTGTTATCCGGCATTAACGAATGCGTAGGCAAAGTGTCATGCCTTTCTACGATGCCCTGACATCCGCATCTTTGATAAATATTTTAAATAAGCATCTTTAACGTGTTCTGTATTTCCTAAAGATTATCGCATAACTTTTGTTTTTCATGCGTTATCATCGTCGTCAATGGTGAATGTTACAAATGCTTTTTTACATGCCCATAATCAAGTCTATCGTATTACATTTTTCTAATGCTTCTTTTTAGTGTAGTCACGGCTGTTCTGAAAACTTTGTGACACTCATATGCTGATCGCACTTGCATTGTACTTACGCGTTCATGCCTGCCCATAAGAGCAGCCACATACTCGCATTTCTGTTCATCCTGACGAAAGCCGTGCCATGGCCGAAACGTAGAGTAAAAAAGTATCCAATTTTCGTAAGTTTGCTCCTTTGTTTCCTGAATATATATATATATATATATATATTATATATATATATATATATATATATATATATATATATATATATATATATATATAGACACACACACAGAGAGAGAGAGAGAAAAGACGCTGGCGCACGGAATTTGAATGTGGGAACTCCGCGTCATGAATGCGAGGCGTTAAACACTGAGCCATCGAGAGTTACCTCCTTCAACGTTCAAACGGCCAGCTATTCATATCTACCAGTTACTGCTGTTGGCGAGCATCTCAATGAGAAACTATCGTGTTTTCAGCACTATCAGCAAGATGGCGCAGTGAGGCGCGGTGGCTCTCATCTCTCACACGTACTTTGGCCCGCGTAGAGAATAAGAGAGTGCGCACTTATCTTGTTCGCGCGCACTTATTTGCAGCGGCGAGAATAGTACGTCTTGGCTAGCCTTTGAGTTTCGTCGGAATGATTCTGTTGTACTTACCGGGAACACAAGGGTCCCTGCAATCGTTGCACGGCCTCTGTTTGCGAAAAGGGCGCGTTTTTCAGACACAGCAAAGTAACAACTGCGATGCTTATTCGCGGTAATCTGTACCTGTGATTACGTTTCGTGTGTTCTTTATACGTGAGAAACGTCGAGCACGTTTCGATGTGCTTGCCCGTCTGCACGTGACCTTCTAATTTGTTACTGTGGCTTTCATTTTTTTGCCTTTGAGGCAAAGCTGTAACTTTTTTTATTCGCAATTTCTCGGTATACATTTTACAACATCAATTCTGTCACGGAAGTACTTAAGTGGAGCCGTGCGGAACATAGACATAAAACACTTCTGTCTTTATTAATAGACCACATAGTACGTGAAATGACAATTGTGGTTGCAGGGCTGGCAATCCATTATTGAAAACAATACATATGTACTCCTAAAATACCCCCTTGACATCGGGTTAAAGCCAACTTAATTGGGGCGCCATCTGCTGAAGTTGATATATGTAAGAGGAAGAAGAAGGTGTTTAATGAGAAGAAGGAGCAGAGGTAAGCCTGAAAAGCGTGTTCCTAGCCTGCTATACTCCTCACGGGGGTAAGGGAAAAAGGGAAAGAGGAGGGTATGATAAGGGGTGATTGTGATATACCAAAAGGAGTCACTACACACATTGTCTCCTTCGGTGTATAACACGACAAAATTCTCTATCTAAAGACGGGAATTAAACCTGTCTTGCTTAGAAATGTGAGCAAGCCTTTTAAGCTATGCTGGGCGTTATCCACAATTTCCTCAGCACCCAAAAGTTTCTCTTCCGAAAAAGGTCGGCAATCTAGGTAACCTCTGAGGCGCCGAAGAGATTGTCTGCGAACTGCGCATAAAAGGCACACAGACACAGAATGTGATTATTATTATCTGGCGTGTTACACAAGGAGCAGTTTGGATTTTGCTCTTGTACAATCTTGCATAACTATTGTCGCGTGTATGCAACATCCCAGCCGCAGTCTGTAAAGTAGCGTTTCCTGGTCTCTCCTCAGTCGGAACAAAAGGTCGAAAAGCGCGACAAGAGTCAAGATTATAAATGCGCTGGTGGCGATAATCCAGATCATTCCATAGTCGTTGCATAGTTGTCTTCATATCTTTAGACAGCAAGGCGTTGATGTGATATTTGGAAAACTGAGTTGATATGACTTCTCCGCTAGTGGACGTAATTTTCGCTTCTTCATCAGAATGTTCATTCTCAGCTACTGTCACAATGACTTGAAATCGATTGAATGATATGTGGGGTTAACGTCCCGAAAACCACCGTATGAGTATGCGAGAAGCCGTAGTGGAGGGCTCCGGAAATTTCGACCGCATGGGGTCTTTAATCGTGTAGCCGAATATGAGCACATGGGCCTACAAAGTGACTTGGAATCCATCAATACGAAATAGGTATGTCCAGATTAAAATGCATCATTCGACATATTTATTATGTCACACACCACAAGACTGTATGTGGTGCCTTGTTTTATGTTGTTTCAAATTACGTGAAGTGCCGGCTTAGATTGGCAAAATAATGTTCATTTCGCTGGACTCTGCTGTAAGATGTAGAACGCAGCTTGTCGGACAACGGTCAGCACAGCGACAGTACATAATGTCCGGTGTGCTATTTTGAGGCGTTGATTGATTACCATTTGAGGCACAGTGAAAGCTGCTGGTGAGGAGGTCTGTGTGACAGAGCCATATGCAAAAATATGCACTCTGTATCTGTACATAAAGGCAATATTCGACAAGGCGAAATGTTTAAGACCAGCAGTTGGTATTTGTGACTTCTTTGTTATCCCTGGGATCGAAAGTTGCACGATCGGCTTATGCAATGCCCAGAGTGGTATGTCGGAGATCACATGTGGTGCGCAATTTGAAGGCAGCAGATCTCGGTGCGACATAACAGCTTCTGAGTATGTAGCATCAGGTCGTGTGTTAAAAGCGTCTACCAGGGGATAGTCTCGATTCGTGCGCTGTAACCATACATATTCTCATAACCAAATTTCTATGCATAGCAGCAATGAATACGTTTCCATCCCGTTGAAGCGAAAATTCCGTAACAGGGAATCGATATTTCAACATTTTGTTTCAAATATCCGAGGTTACCTCGTAGCCCTCGAGCGTTTTATTGAAATATAACAGAACGACTGATCCTTTACTCAGTGTAGGCGATGAAGCTGCCGACGCCATGATTTTTGTTGGTTTTAGATAGCACCAAACGCAGGTTCTAGTCCGTCTAAAATTCGCACTGCTGCCTTAGGAATAGGCGTCTTGACACTAACAAGCAGCATTTACAAAGCATGGATCAACTGCGTAAGCATTGCTTTGATTTTCACATCCAATGACGAAGTCTCATGTTCATGCCAGTTTTCTGGCCCTTGCACTTGAGCACTCCAAGGTGGCAGAGAAGGTCATCATGTATTGTCCGTCACGATCTTCAAAGAAGGTGTGCCTCGAGTTTGAGGTACCACTTCAGGTATAAAATTATCTCTCGCTGAATCATCAAGCAATA